GCCTGACGAGGCCCACGAAACTCCCGAAATTGCCCCGCACAGGCCTCTGCGATCCAGCCGAAAAACACAATTGCAAACGGACATCGGGCGCGAAAGTATAAAGTCCATAACCGCACCCTTCGCACGATGGCCGTGGAACTTGGAAAAAACAACTCAACACAGCAAGCGGCGCCCAGGATGTTTTGAAACTTCCAAGAGGCTTCCAGGGGCGCACAGGAAAGCTTGAAGCGACCCCACAGGCGGCCTCCCGACACAGAACCGCAACGCCACCGCCGCCACGCCGCACGGTTCAAAATCGCAGCGCGACCCGACCGCGTAAAACATATGGCGGTTTACCGCAATGACCAGGTGCCCGCTTCGGAACCCCAGCCTGCGCGACGACTCCAGAGGCATCGCAGTAACCATGCAAACCTACCGCGACGCAGCGAGGAAGCATCGTGACAATTGCTCGCTGGATGGCGCCTTGACCTTTGCAACCATTGTCCTGGCCAGGTTGTCTGCCGAAGTCCTTTTCCGGCCTTCGGGCAACCTACCGACAGGTAGACTTTCTCAGAAATCTGCAAGCCCCTGGATGTCCAAGCCTGCAGCTAGCGCGTGGTCTGTGGAAATCATGGTGCGCTTAGCTGTCGGGCACCGCTGCTCAAGGGAAGTTTGATATGGCGATGAAGTTACCCACGAAGACAAGGGCGACGCGGAAACATCGTTCATGTGTTGCGTGACGGTGGTCTTGCTCGCGTTCTTCATTTGCCTGTCTTGCCCCCTCCAGCCGGTGACAGCCGACAGCCGCGCGCCAGCCTTCCGGCTCGAAGGCCGCGCCATGACGAGATTCGATGTTGCACGCAAACTTCTCACAGAGCCGCGCTCATTCCCAACCACGCGCGAGGCCGCCGCTCCAGCACGTGCCCCAGCCCCGTTTCCCCGTCCTACAGAAAACTCCACAGCCAGCCCCAACGTAAACCCCAGCTCGCCCCGCACGGCGCCCGGCCCGGCGAGCGCGCCTCTCCTGGAGTGTCGGGGGGCGCGTCATGGAAGGGGGCGATGATTAAATGGGGGGGCAGCGAGGGCTGCAGGAAAGGGGCCCCTGAGGGCCCCTGAAGAGGCCCTTCTGGGCCCTAAAGAGGGCCTTCAGGGCCCCGGAAAGGCCACCTTCCTTCCCCCCTCCCCCCAGCTATCGCCCCCCATCGCCCAAGAGAGGGCGCAGGCCGCCGCGGGCACTCGTCCCATCCTTGAAGCAGCCGCTGTTTCCCAGCCCCTCGGAGATTCTCGCGAGGCTCCAGCTTCACGCGCGCACGGGCGCCGCAGGTATCATGCGCCGAACTCCTTGGAGCAGGTGGCGCGCGCATTGGGGGCCACGGCCCTGTGCCGCGCCCTCGGAGTCCCCAGGTAGCTGGCCATCTTTGAAGTATCGGCTCGTTGGCTAGTCGCCCGTCCACGCCAGGGCGATTGCAATAGTGTGGCCAGCCTGAACTATTGCAGCCCTTCTGAACTGCTGCGTCTCCAGGCGGCAACCCTTGCATCGGCGCGCCAACTATTGTATTGGCGCGCCAACTATTGCACAATTATTGTTTGATGAGACGCATGCGATCGACACCGCGGCCAACTATGGTATCACTGCGCAAAGTATTGCACAACTATTGCGCCACAATTCTCCTCTAGCCTTCGATTATCGGGGCAGAGGTCACCTCAGTGACGCGATCATCCAACGACTGCGTGCGACTCCAGGAAATTTAACGCATTGAGCTAAGCTCGCTTCCGCACAAGCGTTGCTTCATCAAGTGTCCGCCTCCCGTTCCGACTCCTATTCCTCTTCTTCCGCTTCCTCCTCGGTTTCGCTTCCGGTCGGTCAGAGGAGGAAAAGGTATCCTATACCGTTGCCATTCCGTCGTTCTCCGATTCTTTGAGTGCCTCGAAGGCCCTCGTCGCCACGGCTAGATTCGCCTCCAGATCCTGGCCAGAACCCCTCCTGGGAGAGGTTCAGGGAGCAGCGGTGTCGGGACCTCTCTCCTGGTCTCCCCGGTCGGGTGGCCCCCGCCCAGAAGGCCTGAGGACGCGCGAGCGTGGCCCGTGGGTGGACCAGCGACACGGACCCGCCTCAGTGCGAAGGCGACGCGCTGCGTCGCCCTCGCGCCAGGGTCTGCAGCGGGCCTCGGCTCCGCGCGCGGGCCGGGTGCTGGCTTCGAGGCTGCCACCGCGGGCCCGAGAGGTGGCCCGAGGTTCACGAGAGGCGCACGTCCTCCCCGCGGCGGGGGCGCCCTGTGGCGGGCAGGGGTAAAGTACGAGAGGGGCAGGGGGGGGGGAAGAAAGGTGGCGGCGCAAGCTCTGCGGGCCTTCGGCCCTGGGCACCCCCTGCTTCCAGGAGGAGTGGGCACGAGGCGCACGTTCCTCCGCCCCTCCGCTTGCTACCACCCGCCTCACGGGCACCCGAGCGGTGCTCGTGCGCATGCTCCGCAGCACTGGCTCCGTGCGGCCTGCGGAGTGCGGCCGTGTGAGGCGCAGTCTGTGCTGCGCAGTCTGCGGGGTGCAGTCCTGACTTTACGTTGCATCTTCGGGAGGCCTCGTCTCTCCTGTAAATTGCGGTCGTTTCTGACATCCGCCGCGTTGTCGGCGCGGGTTCGCCGTATCATCGGCGTGGATGTGGGGCGGTATCGACGTGAATTCGACGCGGAGTCGGCGCGCTCGACACAGATTCGACGCGGATCGCGCCGCGTCGGGACAGGCAAGGCTCCCCGAAGATGCAACACAATTGACTGATGCAGTGAAGTCTAATTGCGCGGTCCAATCTGAGGGGTGCTTTTTGTGGGGTGGCATCTCTGGGGCGGAATCAGCAATCAACGCGTGAAGGAGTGCCCAGGGCCCCGCAGGGGGTGCGCAAGAGGGCCCACTGGCCCAGCGGGGCGAGATGTGTGGGGGATGCCCAGGTCCCCACGCGGCAGTGTCGGCGACGTGTGGCGTTCGGGGGCACCGGGCGGGCGCCATTTGAGGTTGGAACCAGCTGGGGGGCTGTTGTGGCCCAGCATTGTTTCCGCTCGGCAGGAGGGGGAAGAAAGGTGCTCCCTAACTAGTCGCCACAGTTGGACGCGGCCTTCAAAAGCCCTGTCAGCTTCGACCCTGGGAGAGGTCTGTAGACCTATGTTGGGCGAAATTACGTTCGTCCCCGCCTCTTGACAGATGTTCTCTCAGCTCTCCCCATCTCGGAGCCCCGGCCGCCGCCAGCCCGAGGCCCCGCGCGGCGGCGGTGGTGGCGGCGACGGCGGCGGCGGCGTGAGCGACATTCAGGGCCAGTGGGGGACGCGTACAGCGTGGTTCAGGAGGGAAAAGCACACAGACACAAATAATCGTCGATTCACATGGGAAGAATTGCAGACATGGGAGTGGGAAGACGAACCTCCCGAACAGACTGACAATATGGGGCATCCTGTGGTTTGTGTCTATCTTTTTGTGTGTCCCTGGGACCCTTCTGTGGTGGATGCTTGCTCTTGGCGGCTGCGGCGACACATCACGTGCAGCACTCGGGGCCTGTAGGGGAGCGCCAAGCGCGGGGAGTGCCGTGGCGCTCCATGCGGCAGCGACGGCGGCCATGTGCGGCACTGCGCTGGCAGGACCGAGAAGGCGAGAAAGTTAATGTCGTTAGCCCGACTGGGCCTAAGAGTGACCCTTCGCCAGAGTGACCTTTGGTGCGGGCTCGTCGGGGTCCCTCCGATCGCCGAGCGCGATGCGATAACATCAGATTGCGCGCTTGGGTTTGGCCACCTTGCGCCCCCTTAGTCCGCCCACCGAAGGTCACTCTTGCCTAGAGTCACTCTTGCGTGTAGCCGATTAGTTGTTCAATCATGTTTGCCTTTCTCAGCCACTCGCAGAGGGGTGTGTGGGAGGGGGGGGGGCTTCTTAGGAGCACCCCTGCTTCTCAGAGGGCGCGGGGGTCTTCACGGCGGCTCCCAGGGCCTCCAGGATGGCCCAAGAGGCGCCCAAGAGGGCTCCAAGACGGGCCACAAAAGCATCAAAGGCCATGGTGGAAGTATGGAATCCCAATCGCGCTCCCTGCCTCTTGAAAAAGTCACGTGGGCCGAACCGAGAACGCCCAGGAGCGCCTGGAAAGTTTGGCCTGGGCTTCTTGCAGAGCACTACCAGTAAACCGCGGAATTCTCGAAGGGACCTGAGGACACTCCATTTAGTGCCCATGGCACAGTTGCGGATTTTTTGATTTGATGTTACTGTTCAAGGTGGCTTGCCTAGAAGCTTCCGATGAGGGCGCACTGCCATGGTGGAATCGTGTGCAAGTGGATCTTCGTATCATTTAGGAGCGGGGCACCTCAACAGATCCACCTTGTTCCTCCCCCCGTCTCCCTAAGAAAGGAGGAGGCCAATCTGAGGAGGTGTGGGGAGTGAGGAGGAAGGAGGCGGATCTGTATCCTATAACCTTTGTCGGTTCCGATGATTGTGCGTTAAGACCGGTTGCGCACGCTGTAGCATTCAGACTTGGGACGCGATGTTGAGCATGCTTTCGTTCAGAAGGCGTGCAAGCAAGGCGGAAATATATGTTTTGGGTAGCGTCGGCGATTCTTCAGGCGGTCGCCTCGCATAGAGCTGCGGCGCGTTGCGAGCAGAGTTGCGAGCAGGGAACTCGGATACAGTGGGACTTGCAAGAGGCCCGATCAGAGTGGCCAGCATCACCACGCTGCTCTCTTGGTTCCCCCCAGAAGTATGATCGTACATGCCCCCTTGGTTTGAAACAGTGTGATTGGTGTCTCTTGAATGGCTCTAGCTTGTGAGGAGCGCTTTGCGCTTGCAATACAGAGGCGCGTGCATTATGAGGCCCATGGTCGTTTTGCCAAAGCTGGTCTTACGTGTAATCAGATCGTCGTCAAGTTGCCAGAGTTTGCGCTCCCACAGCTTGATTCGGGACGTTGCCACAGCATTGTGCAGCAAGACCCTGCGCCCATGCTGTGCCAATACGCATCTCCATTGCATATCAGAAGCAAGTCTGTCGGGTGCCATGGGAGGTTTGCTTGCGCTACGGCAAGGACCGCGCACCGCCATTGTTTCTGTCAGCCTGAGGGGCTGTTTGTGTTCAGCCGTCGGTTGACATGTCAGGTGAGCTTTGTTGTGCGCCATGTTCTTCGAAGATGGAGGGCGGGATTCCCCGCCGGACAGCACTGTTGGCACAAGTGCAGTCAACACGTTTGCCCAAGGACCATTTCGAGATCACGAGGAGCTCTGGTTTTCGGGCCGTTCCGCAGATATAGGTCGGAGAGTCTGTTCGTGGCCGAGGCTCACCGTGGCCAGAGAAGCCCCGGTCGTTCGTGATTCTGCATTCCGTATTCGGCGATCCTTGTTTGTTTTTGGTCGGGGAGAAGCCTTCCCATATCCACCGCCGCCTGCCGAGGCCCCCGCTGAAGATCCTCCCGGCGGTGGTTATGGACAAATCTCCGTTTGCATCGAAAGCAGGCAGCCTGCCGCCCAGACCCCGCAGATTATGCTGACGAGCGCCCCCCCCCAAATGGCTACGCAAGAGGCGAGCAAGGGTCAATTCCGCCCGGCTTTACGGTCCTCTGATCGCTCCCCACCTGAAGATGCATGCGTTGCGCAGTGGCTCTACGTTCAAGGGAATCTGATCGCGCCTGCAGAGAAGTCTCTGCCCCTGGGCGAAGCTCGGGCTTCTACAGACGGGGCACCCCAGGGATCAAAGCACACGATGACACGTCGTCACCTTTTTGTCGCGTTCAGCTGGGGACTTGGGAGCCCAAAAGTCGGCTTTCGCCCTCACCTTTCTCAAACATGGCTGCATATTAACGATCAGCCGCCGCCTGACCCCATCCAACCACCCATTCTCTATATATTGCGTCGCCGGTGTTTGTGTGCAACACGTGTGTGGCCGCTGGCAGCATGATCTGCCAGGCGACTCTGACCGCACCTACGGCATGGCTGCACCCTGAGAGCGCAAGCAAGTGCCGACGCCGACACCTGGCCAAGAAATCTTGTAGAGCTTTCTGGACTCCACCTGAGGCCCAAACAGGGTTGTAGCCTAAGACCAACCATATGTCTATATTCCTCCGTCTCCCCAGCCCGCGTATGGGGGAGGGAAATGTTGGGCATGCATGTAAAACGCTTAAGAATGATTCCGAAAAGTGGAAATTGCGGGGTCTGCTGAGGAAGATTGCTTTGGCACCTTCCGCGTCGAGAGCTACGGTGCTGATGCTCTCGAGGCTTCTAATTACCCCTTGGGGCCACCTACTGTGAACATGGGCGGGGTGCGCAGAGGAAGTACAGAGAGGAGCACTGTCTATAGCACTCTCCTTCCGTTTTGGGGAACACCGTAGTAGGTGCCCTGCTTTTGCACATGGTGGGCTGCAACATCGGCACGGCCGACCAGGACGCGTCGACAAGCTCCAACTTGAAAGGGTAGGAGATGCGCTCCGAAGTCACAAAGTACTCCCCAAACAAATCCTTACTGTCGCACACTATGAACATGTCATTGCGGAACCGCCCGTCGAATCGGATCGCATGCCTTGCAAGCACGATTGGGTGCGCCGCCCAGCGGTCTTCGCTACTGGCGACGAGCACGGCGTCAGCGAGAGGGCCAGAATGGGAGAGCCCCATGACGCTGCCTCTCCGCACGTGCCACGCCTTGTCAGGAATCAGGTCGGACACGACAAACTGGTTCCACAGGAGGAAATTGCTCACGTCGTGGATTACATTGGACGCGTACCGGTCCTCGCCAGCGATTTTCGCAGCCAAGGGCGCGAGGTCATCACCCACTTCCCCTGACATGTAGAATTGCTTAATGTCTATGCGTACGAGCCACGAGTCGTCCGTCACGGCCACGTTCCGCAGCCGTTGGACTAGCTCCCGCGTGCTGTTAAGGATGTGGCCCCGTTCCGCCAACAAATAAGATAAGAACTCGCCAACAAATCGATAAGAACTCGCCCGGCCAGGCGCTGAAGCCGAGAAGCTCGTGCCCGCAGGCTGCATGCAGGCTTCTGTGCTTTACTGCCCCTGCCGCCTTGTGCGTCTTGCACGTGATCTGCAGCTTGCACGTGATGCGGGGCCCTACGAACAGCGGCCGCCTGGGAGACGTCCCAAACTCGCTGTATTGCTCCCCGAGCCTGCCGCACACGAGCGCCTGGACTCGAGTGCATAGCCGTAGATATGGAAAGTGCGCCAATGGATCTCCCTGAATACACTAAGGGGGGGGGGGGGTCCAGAACCCGCCCCTCCCCCCACTCCCTTGAAGGGGAGGGGGGGCCCGGACCCCCTCCCCCCCCCCTTGGCGCTGAAAGGGGGGGAGGGGGTCGGACCCCCCCCCCTCCCCCCCTTTGCGCCGGAGAGGAAGCCTGGGAGGGGGGGCCTCTCTGGCTTCTCCTTTCTGCGCCAGAGAAGGTGTGTAGGGAGTACGGAGTTGGGAGGAGGGAGTGGTGAGTTGTGAGTAGTGAGTTAGTGCGCAGTCAGTAGTGAGTATTGGGTAGTGAGTAGTGGGTAGTGAGTGGCGAGTAGGGAGTAGGGGGTAGGGAGTGGCGAGTAGTGCGTAGTGAATAGTGAGTAGTGTGTACTGATAAGTGAGTAGTGAGTGGCCAGTAGTGAGTAGTGAGTGGTGAGTAGCGACTAGTGAGTAGTGAGTGCTGAGTAGGGAGTAGGGAGTAATGAGTAGTGGGTAGTGAGTAGTGGGTAGTGAGAAGTGGGTGGCGAGTAGTGATTAGTGGGTGGTGTGTAGTGGGTAGTGCGTAGTGCGTAGTGAGTAGTGAGTAGTGAGTAGTGAGTAATGAGTAGTGAGTAGTGAGTAGTGAGTAGAAAGTAGAGAGTAGCGAGTAGTGAGTAGTGAGTAGTGGGTAGTGAGTGGTACGTAGTGCGTAGTGAGTAGTGAGTAGTGATACGTAGAGAGCAGTGGGCAGTGGTAGTGGGTAGTGTGGGTAGTGTGTAGTGAGTCGTGAGTAGTGGGGCAGAGGGTAGTGTGTAGCGAGTAGCGATTAGGGGGTAGCGAGTAGTGAGTAGTGAGGAGCGAGTAGGGCGTAGTGAGTAGTGAGTAGTGAGTACAGAATAGTCAGTAGTGAGTGGTGTGTAGTGATTAGTGAGTAACGACTAGGGAGTAGCGAATAGTGAGTAGTGAGTAGTGAGTGGGGGGTAGGGAGTAGGGAGTAGTGAGCAGTGAGTAGTAAGAAATGGGTAGCGAATAGTGGGTAGTGGGTAGCGATTCGTGAGTAGTGAGTAGTGGGTAGTGAATCGTGACTAGTGACTGGTGATCAGTGACCTGTGATTCGTGAATAGAGACTATGTAGTGACTAGTGAGTAGGGAGTAGTGAGTAGTGAGTAGCGGGGAGTGAGTAGTGTGTATTGGGTAGCAAGTATGGGAGTAGCGAGTAGTGAGTACTGAGTACTTTGTAGTCAGTATTGTCTAGGGAGTACGGGGTAGCGAGTAGTGGGTAGTGAGTAGCGATTTGTGGGCAATGAGTAGTGAGTAGTGAGTAGTGGATTAGTGGGTCGTGGGTAATGTGTATTGATTAGTGTGTAGTGGAGTAGGGAGTAGGGAGTGGGGAGTAGTGAGGAGTGAATAGCGAGTAGTTTGTACTGATAAGTGAGTAGTGGGTGGCGAGTAGTGAGTAGTGAGTAGTGAGTAGCCAGTAGTGAGTAGTGAGTACTGAGTAGGGAGTAAGGAGGTATGAGTAGTGGGTAGTGAGTAGTGGGTAGTGAGTAGTTGGTGGCGAGTAGGGATTAGTGAGTAGGGAGTAGTGAGTGGTGAGTAGTGCGTAGTGAGTAATGAGTAGTGAGTAGTGAGTAGTGAGTAGAGAGTAGCGAGTAGTTTGTAGTGAGTAGTGAGTAGTGAGTAGTACGTAGTGCGTAGTGAGTAGTGAGTATTGAGTAGTGATGACAAGAGAGTAGTGGGTAGTTGCAGTTGGTAGTCTGTAGTGAGTAGCGAGTAGGGGGTAGCGAGTACTGAGTAGTGAGGAGCGAGTAGGGCGTAGTGAGTAGTGAGTAGTGAGTAGTAAGTAGAGAGTAGTCAGTAGTGAGTAGTGGATAGTGATTTTGTGAGTAACGACCAGGGAGTAGCGAATAGTGAGTAGTGAGTAGTGAGTGGGGGGTAGGGAGTAGGGAGTAGTGAGCAGTGAGTAGTAAGAAACGGGTAGCGAATAGTGGGTAGTGGGTAGCGATTCGTGAGTAGTGAGTAGTGGGTAGTGAATCGTGACTAGTGACTGGTGATCAGTGACTTGTGATTCGTGAATAGAGACTATGTAGTGACTAGTGAGTAGGGAGTAGTGAGTAGTGAGTAGCGGGGAGTGAGTAGTGTGTATTGGGTAGCAAGTATGGGAGTAGCGAGTAGTGAGTACTGAGTACTTTGTAGTCAGTATTGTCTAGGGAGTACGGGGTAGCGAGTAGTGGGTAGTGAGTAGCGATTTGTGGGCAATGAGTAGTGAGTAGTGGATTAGTGGGTCGTGGGTAATGTGTATTGATTAGTGTGTAGTGGAGTAGGGAGTAGGGAGTGGGGAGTAGTGAGGAGTGAATAGCGAGTAGTGTGTACTGATAAGTGAGTAGTGGGTGGCGAGTAGTGAGTAGTGAGTAGTGAGTAGCGAGTAGTGAGTAGTGAGTACTGAGTAGGGAGTAAGGAGGTATGAGTAGTGGGTAGTGAGTAGTGGGTAGTGAGTAGTTGGTGGCGAGTAGGGATTAGTGAGTAGGGAGTAGTGAGTGGTGAGTAGTGCGTAGTGAGTAATGAGTAGTGAGTAGTGAGTAGTGAGTAGAGAGTAGCGAGTAGTTTGTAGTGAGTAGTGAGTAGTGAGTAGTACGTAGTGCGTAGTGAGTAGTGAGTATTGAGTAGTGATGACAAGAGAGTAGTGGGTAGTTGCAGTTGGTAGTCTGTAGTGAGTAGCGAGTAGGGGGTAGCGAGTACTGAGTAGCGAGGAGCGAGTAGGGCGTAGTGAGTAGTGAGTAGTGAGTAGTAAGTAGAGAGTAGTCAGTAGTGAGTAGTGGATAGTGATTTTGTGAGTAACGACCAGGGAGTAGCGAGTAGTCTCATAGTGAGTAGAGAGTAGGGATT